TCTGGATGGGTCACATCTACAGACAAATAAGGATGCAAAATAAACAAACAATTTATTAAGTTTTCCTGTTTGAGATGTTTGTTCTTTTGGCAAAAGTCAAGTTTTACAGTCTGTATATTCCAGTAAACAATTAATCGATGACTTAAACAGTTGACAAATATTATATAAAAAAAAATGTTTAATAACAAAATTATGCTAATAGTTTAAACCCCAGGAAAAATAATTGAATGTTGTAGAATTACATTGATATCTAATAGCTAAGCTTTTGAAGTTACTTGCTAAACAGCATAATAACTATGATATTCTTTAACTCATGTGGCTGCGCGGTTTAGATAGACGTTTTTTCTGTCTTTTAGCGGCACCCGTACCCCTTTACCGTAATGCACAAAATATGGGCAAATGTATTATTCTTTTACCCGAGCCCAAACGTCGGCGTGATAATGCGTGTATTTCTGACTGACCTCAATATATTAAAATAACAAAAACACCGCTGCAATTATATAAGCAAAATAAATTCTAAATTAAACATTATAAATAATGAAATAATGTCTCATCCAAGTAACTGATGCTGATGAACCCTTTCCGTTCTGCTGTAACCTTTGGTACTGACCATGCGTTGTGTTGGAAAACCTGACGGGGGTCTGTTAGGAATCGTGTCCCGAATTGAGGTCTTTTGAAGTCTCCAGAGGAGGGATTTGGCTGTGTTGAGCCGGTTTCAGTGCTTTCAGCCTCCACTCCGTCAGTGATGCGGGGCGCCGCCATGATGGGTCTGACGCAGAAGGTAATGACGCATTCAGGGACGGGCGGACAAAATAAAGAACGGTTTAAAATACATGTTTTATACCAGGTAAAATGCAGGGATAGTTGCTTTCACTGCACAGCTTCATCGTAGGGATTATGCAAGGAGATAATTAATGAAACTTAAAATAAAATACCAAAAAATTGAAATATATTGCAATCAATGTTATTTCATTTTAAACGTTATGGCTTAAATTTGATAAAACTCCAAATATCGCATAAAAACTTCTTCTCTCATATACAATGAAAACTTTACTTTGTTAATAAAAAGGGGGATTTTGATAACTAACAAGGTCCTGTCCATGGAAAAAACAAAAAACAACAACAAAAAAACCACTATGTTTTCATAAACTCAGATCTAATTTTTAACTAAGTTGAAGACATCTTATAACATTGCTTATGCTTTTGTAGTTAGATTTTTGTGATGTTTTTTTTTATACAGGCCTCTGTAAAAAAGCAAAAGATCAAAAAGCAAAAGATCAACATCTCATTTTGAATTTTATTTTCAATATTGAAATTTTGAAATCTCTATGAATGCAAGTGTGATTAAAAAAGAAAGGCAATTGCCACCGGGGAATTGTGTTGTTTTAAGAAGATGCTGAGGGCACCTAGTGTGGTCCTAGAGGGGCCCCTTGGTGCCCATGGGCACCATGTCTGTAACCTCTGGTGTAATGCCCTGTTATAAATTGTAAAACGTTACTGTTGGTCTATAAATCACTTAATGATGTTGAAACTTACATTTGTTAGTTATAGACTCCTCAGGTCATGAAACCTGGGCCTGCAGTGCTACTAAGAGAGCTACACAATGGAAAACTGTTTTTTATGGCCTCTAGCTTTAATAGCAACAGCCTGTAACCCTGCAGTGTGCAGAAGCGGTTTGTTCCTTTCAACCAGGATTTTCTGATTTCTTTACTTCATATGTTGTTCAGTATCTTATTTCTACTCCAATGCATTTTAATATTTTATTCTTTGATCACTTTTATTTAACTTTTGTGTGAATGATTCTGCAACCAACAAAGATATAACTTTCTTTATTACCTTTTCCAAGCTGTCGAAAATTATAATGTGTGCCTTACCATTTTTATTGCACTAGAGGGAGACATATACTGGCCTTATTTTCACATTGATTTACGAAGTTATATCAATGTGAAACAGAGAAAACTTCTGCAGAGCTTTTAGCCTGTGTAGACAAGTCTGTTAGATCTTTCTTCCAAGAAAAGCATCTTGTTTCTCTTCAGAGGCAATGTTCCTGCTCTTTGAAGCATTGGTACATTTTGAATTACTAGTGACATTGAGTGGTAAAGGTGTTATTAGCACTAGTAAGGCTTTTCTTTTGCTGTTTTGCTTAGAGGAAAATTTTTTATGTAGTGATTTTTGTTGTTTCTACATATTTTGTACTGGAGATGAAAACATCCACTAAAGGTTGCCATAAAATCTTCTTATATACTTATCTGTGAAATAGTATGTGCAGATGCATAGAAATGATCAGTAGTGCTGCCACATTTTTGTTTTAGCTGTAGCTTTCTTGAACTTGTTGTTGAGCTGAAAGGAAGGGACTTATGTTATTATATTTTTCAATGGAAATTTAACCCAAATCAATATCTGATTTACCAGTTAAAACCATAAAGAATACATCTTTCTTATATATGCAGAAGCTGATTGCAACATGCCTATGCAACATGATGGAACATCCTGGGAGTGTCAAACACAAGCAAGGAACACGTTTTTTTGTTCTTAACCCTTTTGAAGGTAACATATTTAAGCAGATTTTAAAATACTAGATATAGGTAAATTTCTGCCTCACTAAAGATTCTTACATGTTATGGAGTAAAGAAGACAAAAGACTTTCTTGCAGAATTCCCCATGTTTATTGAATCTTGGCAAGCAGACATATCTTTTTAGTCTAAAAAGTTGCTCTTTGCTTTGGCTTAGAAATAGGAATTAAACAAAAGTGGCATTTGATCTAAAAATATGACTCTGACATTTTGGAAAGAAAACCTTTTGAGTCACAAGACTCAGGTGAAATAAGTTCCCTAAATATAACCAATAAACAACCACATGACAAAATAGTGAGATAGCCGATTGTATTGTGCAAAACATTCAGAGCTTTAAACCCAAAATGCACCACAGTTTGTAGTATAATATCACCCACATTCACTCCAAATGTAAACATTAAAGCTATAGAAACATTCTCAAATACTCTATCATATGTAACTTTGTCATGCACCATTCAGATTATCAGTGCAAATGCAAAACATAGAATAAAAAAGAGAAAAAAAGCCTAAAGCAAATACATTTTTATGCAAATTAACACACTGGTTTATTTTTTTTAATACTATACAGACCCATTTAATCAGTATATCTGCAGCGTACACCATGCAGAACAGGGTTTCAATAATTAAATATAGCTGTTTCACATTCACTTTGCCTGACAAAGTTTTAACAATAGAAGTAAGGAATGATAAGAAAACATATAAACAGTAGAGGTGGAAAGATTTTCGAAAAAGTATGTGTAAAGTAAACATCAGCATTTAATCAAATCCACAGACACCCCCCGGAGACACCGAAAGCCTTGGAACAAGCAACTTGTGACACATACAAACAGTTTGTAATATTGGACATCATGTGCAAACACTTTATTGAACTGTTGACAGCAGTAACTACATCTCTGCATCAGTAGCCGCTCTAATGACAGTGTAAAGACCTTCCTCCGATCATCTTAAGTGCTGCTACATTCTACCAGTGTCGCCAACCCCTGAGCTTTTTCCTCATTGCGCTTAATCATTAGTTTCCTCTGTACGCCACATTGGTAAAAGTGGAGGTGGCTCCTCTGTACAAAGGATTGTTACCCTAGAAGATGAATGGATGAATCATTTTAATTCAAAACATTGCATTCAGTATTCTGATTCTCAGATAAGAGGTTTGATACAGTATCTTTGGTGCTTACCGTATCCCATTTGGCTTTGGCTCTCTCCTCCTCAAACTTGGCAAACTCTCTGCGATCTTTTATGGTAACCAGCAGCTTCCAGATTAGCAGACCGACGAGACCCAGGAGCAGAATTGCTCCGGCCACCGACAAAAGCACCACTAGGATGTCAGGGCCCTGGGGACACTCTGAGAAGCAGACATTTACAAAGTTTAACAGCTTAAAACTTTCAGATTCCAATTCGTTCTCTCATTATATAAATCTGTATTTGACATTCTGTGGCGCTGAAAAGTGAAGCGGTGAAACCAAATTCGAGAGGTGTTCTTTAGATAATAACACATTTCTAGATGCACAGACTGTTCCTCGCCTGAAATAGATGGGGACAAAACCTTCTGTCCTGATAATGTACCTAAATCATGTTTTTTTTTTTCCCTGACAGTTTAAATTCCCAGTAAAAGCGAAAAAGTTTCAGAGTACCTGGCTCTTTCACAACGTACAAGATGGATTTCCCAGTTTTATCTTCATAATACTGGAATTTCACAATGCAGTCATTTTCATCTTTGTAGGAGCAGTTCAGGGCATTGTGTTCTTGGAAATCTGACAGAAAAAGGAAAATTGACAAATAAAAACAATTTTAAACAGTTTTTCACTAACAAGAATGTTTTTTTTTTTTTTTTTACTTTTTTTAGGTAAGATTTTTAACCTTAATAGTGTGCAACACGTACAAGGAGTGAAGGAATGCAACAACTCAACATGACCACAACAGCCAATGTTCACATAAACACAGCAAAAATTGAAATCTAAGTAAGTAGATTTTTCTTAAAATAGAGCATTTTCTCTTAAATTAAGCAGTTAAGTGATACACTTTGCCAATGGAATAAGCCAATTTACATTTAAAATAAGAAAAAGCAACTACAGTCTCTATTTCAAGTGCATAATATCTAATTATCTAATTTTATACTTAGAAATGCCCATTCCATTGGCAGATTATCTTAGTTTCCTGCTCAAATGAAGGGAAAACACACTCAATTTAGGAGATTTTTGCTCATGTTTAGATCGTTTTTGCAGTGAAGAAAGTTCTCAGTACTCACCAGAGTTCTCATCCATTTTCTTACTCAACTTGTCCACTATTACTATTTCATTATTGCAGATTCTGTTGCAGCTGTTGTCACTGATATACGGCCCCCTTTTGAAGTGCTGACACTCAACACACTTCCTGCACAAACAGAAACACCATCAGCTTTATACAATACAGCACTGCTTTATCTGCAGCAGGTGTAAGTTCTACTATAAACACATTTATTCTAAATATATTATATTTAAATATATTTTATATATAACATCAGACTGTGTGTTGAGAAATAAGCAGAAAAGTATCAAATAAGTGAATTTATCAAACAAGGCAACAAAGTAAGCACAAATCCAAAGTCTTCACCCTAAAGGTGGCCATATATGTCTGTCTGTCTGCCTGCATGCCAGTCTGTCTGTCTGATACTTTGTTGTTTCAACTTACTGAGACGATAAAAACATTTTTAGTGTCTAGATCATGTCTGATGTGCACTATAGGGGTTGGGATTAAAGAATCCAGATATTAGTAGTTTACAGCAAGAGCCATTAAACTTTTGGATGTAAAGATTAACAGGGATCACAGCAGCAAAAAAAAAAAGAAAGTTGAATAGCATTGCTAAAAAGATTTATTCTTCTTTTTTATATTTTTATATCTTTTATAAACCTATTTTTGACATTTATGATTCAGGGAGATGGATATTATAACTTCCTACCTTAATGAGTTTTTTGTTCATAAAATATATACGATTTAATAAAATGTTAAACCTGTATTACCTGTTAAAACTGGTGCGAATATGAAAAGATTGATAGATGAACTCACTGCTTTATAGTGCAAGAATCAGGGCATGTGGGGCACTTCTCACAGGTGTCTCCGTAGGCGCCGGGTTGAGTGCACTGACAAACCCCGCACACACAGTTACCCCGGCCGCTGCACAGCAGCCCTATGCTGGACACGCAGGTGTCTGTGCGGGTGGTGCAGTTACAGTTGTCTCCTTTCCAGCCAGCGTCACACTGGCAGAACCCACAGCTACACTTCCCATTGCCTGAAAGACACAGACACTGACGAATCAGCTGAAATGCTTGATGAGCTGCAAGAGTTTTCAGCTAAGCTAACCTATCTATATACCAATGTTCTAAAATATTTTAGGCTTTATTTCAGGTTCCTTTAAAAGTTTGATAGAAATCTTTTTATCTTTGCATGGAGACCACCTAAAATAAATAAGGATATTTCCTTATTCATTGCCTCTTCTAGTGATCAACTGTAAAAAACATTCAGTTAAATGTAATTGTTTTTAAATATTGGTGGCTTGACTCACAGGGTCATAAGTTATCTGGCTTTGTTTTATGGAAGCAGCTCCTAGTAAGGCTGCTCCCATAGGAGAAATCGATGAATCTGTCGAATATATTTTCGATTAATCGATTAATAATCGGATAGCAAAAGGATCCTTATGATAGATAGTTTTTACGAAATTAAACCAGGTGAAACTAAAACTTTTCCACTTGAGGAGTTTATTGTTTATTGATAGAGCTTATTGACAGACAAAAAAGTTGATTTTTTATTTTTTATCTTAAATGCAAAATGATTATATATTTTTTACATTTTTTTACATAATTACTGCCCTATGTGAGTTGCTCTGTCAGCTAAAGGCATGTTTTACACTCTCTATACTCCAGTAATTGATCAATCCAGGATTGATCAATTAATAAATTAGTTGACGTTTTTTCCATAATCGAATCATCACATTTAATCAATTTAATTGTTTACGCCCTAGCTCCTAGTTTTTGTTTTGGTCTTTAAAGACTTAAAGTAGTTTACATAGTGGCTGAGATGTTCCTCTACATACTGTAGGTGATATTCTATTACAGACTTATAATTTGTAAATACGATTTGACACGAATGGTAATATTTAAAGCAGGAAAGACAGGTACATCTAAAATTGATTAAAAACAAATGTATGTTTATCTCTGTAAGTCAGGAAAAGGCAAAACTAAAGTAACCATTTGCTAGGAGTGAATTTAGATAAAAATGAAGAAACAATGATCCATATCTTTTTGTGACTCGCAGCCGTATGGTAAGAGAGGTACCAAAAGGAAAGGTTAACTTCTTCCCTCACTCTATATATAATGCTTAAAAGTATGGATAAATTACTGTAATGTTTTTAATATATTCTGAATATAAAAAATGTAAAGAAAACATTGTTTTTTAGAAAGCTTTGTAAATACAGGGTCTTTACAATGATTGAAGAGGTAGATAAGGACTTTTAAACTTGCACTGTGTGAGCTGCCTCTCTCACCACTCTATTTTAGTAGACAGAACAGTCAAAGTATCAGATGTGGTTACTGGTGTAATGGCACATTCTCCACTTCCTAAACACTGCACAAATAACTCCGACTTGTATCTGTTTTCCTCTCAAAGTAGCACAAAGTAATTTATTTCCATTTTTAAAGACTCTACATACCAGAAAACCTCTAATTTCTTTTTATTTGCATCTCATTTCATGTCCTGGTTGTTTCTTAGTTTTAATCACATGGGCGAGGCAAGACAAACAAAACTATGAAACAGATATTGCTTAGCTGCAAACTCACCCACACTCCTAAGTAACCGATATTTCTTAATTAACATGTGCAGCTCTTAGGATTAGAGTTTGGTCACTGCAATGTTCTCAGTCTGTGTTTGTGGCTTTAATGTTTCTGAGTTAATCAGCTTGTTTCTTTGAAAACATGTTGCATGAGCAAATATGAACGTGTTTGTAGAATCTGTTTTACTATAATTACTAATTAGGCACCAAGCATTTACTTTAAAGTTGTTATTTGAGAACAGAACTTTTATTCTGACATAAAAAACAACTCAGATATAATTTCATTACTTTTTAATTAATAAGTCTATCAAAAATGGAAGAAAAGAGAAACCGCATTTTAGTGAGTTTCCTTTTTCTCTTTAAATGTTTGTGTCAGATTATTTTTACATTGGAAAAAAACATTTTTTCAACTTTGTTTGTTGTTATTGTTTATGTTAATGGTTGATAATGTCATTATGGACAGACAGTCATGATAGACACACCCTCAGACTGCAGAAACCTACAGACCACAAAGCCAGACAATTTCAGAGGTGTTGTTACGCTGTGGCAACTATTTGCTGACAGAACCTCAGCTTAAGCTTTTTCGCTGTATTACAAGCAGACACTCATTGAGCAACCTATGAAAATACGGCAGAGTTTCGGAGACTGCAATGGTCTTATCAGAGAGAAAAATAGGATTCGACAATGGATGACTAACAGTAATGTGACTGAGTCAGAGCCCAGCTGGATCACAGCTGGGAAGTCACTGGTCCTGAAATATTAAACAAAGTCCAAATGTCCCTCATTAAACCACTCAAAGTCAAAAACTCTGGTGTAAACTTAAGAAAACAATCCCTGTCCCACATATGTAATGTAGCTTCCTTTTTTTAAATGTTATTTCTTTTATGCTCATATCTACCTGTAGATAACATAGCCCTTCCTGCAATGCTGTTTTCTTCAATAACATAAATTAAATAGCAATACAAGCATCACCCTAATAAGAATAAACATGACAAACTGTGTCACATATATTAATTGATTATTTTTGTATTAAAATGCACTAAATTTACTTAAAAGCACATTTAAATGTTTTACATCACAAGTATCTGTTATTCAAAAAGCTGCAGTTTTGCAGAAGTTAATAGAAGTTGGTTGGCCCAATAAAAACAAAAGACAAGAACAGGAAAACATGCAGAACACTGAAACTGAGCTTCATCCTGCAGAAAGGGAGGAGAGCACAGGGCAAACAGGCAGTAGTGGAATGCAAACTTTCCTGCTCTCTCTTTCCTTGTATTTATGGGCCCCTTGGCAATGCGTGCTGTCGCCTGTCTTAGCTCCAGTGCCCTTAGCAATGGAAAGGATATATATCCACATAGAAACAAAAAAAAACAAAAAACAATGATGTTTTTTATCAGCCCTGAGCTATGGTTAGTGGTAAAATCATCTTATAACAAATACCTTTACCCAACGTTCAGTAGACTGCGTTTTTCTAGTTAGAGCTCTATGAGAATGAATGAGCTGTAAAACAGTCAGTAAGGTTCCTGGAAAGAGGCTCTTTAAATGGGACCTATTACACTTCATTTTAAACAAGTTGGGTGTACTAAATGTTTTATTGCATTCTTGCAAAAAAGTTATTCTAAGTACATATTTGACTGTAAATAAGATATATAAGCTGAAGAATTGGAGACTCCTGAACACTTCTTCACATCTTCTTAAATCTTCATCTGAAGATTTGCAACTAAAATCAGGGAGAGAATTTTCCCTCAGTGGAATTCTTTTAGAGAACAACACACTTGTCTTTTCCAGCTGCCAGTGTACAGTGCATACAGTGGTAAAAGCAGATGGCCAAACGTGCTCCTCTTCAAATAATGAAGTGGGCTGAGCTCAGCTTGGATTGCTACGAAAGTGGCAGTGCCTGCTGATTGTGACAAATTAATTAGCAGGAAATAACCAACTAACTGGCCCACATTAGAGCAGCAGTTAGAGGAAAACTCCAACTGTAGCACCAAGCTGGGCTGACAGCCAGAGCTGTCTGACAGCACAGTGCTCTGCCGCCCTCAAAGAGAACAAGTAGAAACCAAAGTTGGCTCATTCTTTATACATTGACTGCACTGGTCAAGTTTTGACGTCCATTTTCTCTTATAAAATCTTTGTAAAATAAATTTTAAAATGGCTTTTCTACTCTCGCCATCATCGGGTACTGTCACCGCAAGTTGTTCAAAGCACTGCAAGATAAGATGTTCCACTTTTTACCGCCCCGGGGAATGTTTTCTAGAGCAACCTTTCAGGAAAGACCAAAAATTAAAGGCCTGTGAAAGGGGAAATTATCCCAGTAAATTTGTATCTAAATAAAAAGCCCCAGGCTTTTCAGGGCCAATGGAAAAGGGCCTACTGATATGTGCGGTAAGGTAAATGTTAAATTTGATAAGAGGATTTCTTTGGGATGTTTTCAAGTCAAGGTCTGGTGAAAGTGTGTATGTGGTTGAAAACATGCCTGCAATGGATTACACTTTTGTTTTTCTTTTTTTTTAAAATCCCTATAAACACACCCATTGGGTTAACGCTAACAGTTCAAGGAAGAAAAAAAAAAAAGTAACAAAACAACAGATTGCTATTGTTTGACTGTTACATTTTTTTTTTTTTTTATCAAGTAGTCTTTTCAAATATGAGAAAAAATATATTCTTGGTATCTGTTTCACACAAAAAAAAATCTGCAGTAGTGCGCAAACACTTGTTTGGGGAAATGTTTGGTGATCGTAAAAAAATCCTTTTGGTCTTGACCTTAATTTAGCTTCTGAGACAAGCGAATCTCCATTTATATAGAAAGTGAGATTCATAGAGTCACCATTTTCTCATAAACTGCTATCTACAAACTCAATTAGATATTTTAACGCCTAGGGGGCACTGAGAGAAGGAAAAAAAATGCAATATTTTCACCTTAAAAATAGACACACTTTATTAAAAGTTATAGTAACACTGCTTCCATGGAAACTTAAAGAGGATTTTTTTTAAATGTGCAAATACATGGCCCATATATAGCTGAAGTATTATTTAAAAAAAAAAAAAAAACTCAAGACAAGAGCAAGTTTTATGTCCTAAGTTGAGTTACAAAACATTGAGCTGTGCAGACTTGTTAGAAGTGAGTTAAAGAACAACATGTAGCTCTTAAATGAGAACACCAGTCACATTCTGACTACCCAAAGAAACCTTTTAGGTCCTAAACACTGCAAGTTTTCGAAAGAGTTTCATTGTTTACAGTTGGTAATTCAATTACTTTAGGTATGTAATTATTTACATGTATTTACAAACAAGGAACGACTGCATATATCTTTGAAATGTTTTAGAAGCTTTCTAAATTTTCCAGTTGCGTAAGAGAAACACAACATCTAAACCCACTCAGATGTTTACAGCTAAGTGAAAAAGCATAAAGAAGTCACTGGAATTTAAGGAGGAGGAAAACTGAGGGAAATAACTCACCATGGACAACAATGACTCCCTCAAAGTATGATAGTCTGTTGACTTTAATGAGGAGTGTTGGAGAATTTCAGAAGGATAAAAAAAAATCTTGGTTAACAAAGCTGGGAGGTCTAACTATCTCATATAGGATCTCTTTAGACTTAATAAAAGAGACAATGAGCAGAGGCTTTTTACCTTCAAAAGTGTTTTGTTGTTGTGGCAGCATCGACCAGCGGCAACACAACAAATTATTTTAATCATTTAGATTGTATCACCACATGAGGCAACAAACATAGAAAAAAACCAAGTCCTTCAGCAGCAAACTGTTCTGTGGAAGAATCATTTTACGCAGTGACTCCCCCCAACATTGGAGAGACTCAAAAAGAGTCTTTTGCCCATTACCTGGCCAAAGGGGAAAGGTTCAGTTTAGGCAACTGCACTTCCCTAAACTGAACCTTTCAATCTTGACCATGACCTGAATGACTGAGAATCTTCATAGATATGTTATCTGGTCAAAGGCACATGCTCTATAAACACCACTGACAACCAAAGCTTTAGACAAGTATTGAACATATCAGATCATTTCCAGTCTTTTGTCTACAACTTGTTTTGGTCTAATGCAGCGTTGCATTTGTTTACAAAAGGGAAACAGCTTTTTTTTTTGCACATTGCACTTCATACATCTTTTGTGAACTAAATGCTACAGTTGTAGAGCAATATATGTAGCGTATTTTCCTTCTATTTCTTTATTTACCGGTACTAGTTCAATTGCAGTACAGAGTTTGTTTGTTTCTTCCAAAAAAAAAAATTGAGCAATACAAGTGCGAAGCAATACTTTGCACTTGAATTGAAATATTTATTGTTTAAATGATTTCATTCACGTTTAAAATAAGATTTTTTATTTATATTAATTTATCCTTTTTGCACAAAGGAATGAATTACTTCTGTGTTGACCAAGATGCGTTTGAAGAATCTTGATTTCAATTCTGACAAAAAAATTGAATCAAAACGTTTTTTCTAGAATCGAGCAAGAAAAATGTCTATTCTTTTATAATTTAGGGTCAGTTAATGAAGAATTTATCTATAATTTTCTGATTAATTAACCCATCAGCAGACATTGCTGCTTAAAATAACTAATTAAAAAATCTTAGCTAATGCAAGGCAATTTGAATGGAAATTGATTGTGATTGTGAGGAAAACATATTTTAGTATATTGTACATGTACTTTTATCCTTGCACCATGGGTATATCCCCAGACCATCAGTAGATGACAGAAACACAAAGGACAGACTGCTCTGCATGACAAAATATACCTAAAGGAAATTAAGACTCACCAAAACATCTACCAAGTTATATTGAGAGACTAGGAACATAAGGAGGAAGACCCACCAACGGGTGGAGCTTCCTGCTGCAAGGCTACGGGCTTTTTTACCTCTTACCCATAATGCAGCACCTTGATGATCCTACCATACCATTATGAGAGCACCATTTCCTAAGCCATGACCTGGTATGAGTCTCTACGACTATTTCAGGATGTAGAAATAGCTCAGAAAATGATCACACTTTATAATGGAAAATGAGGAGCATGTTGTCTTCTTAAGCACTCCGGGTGCCCTTCCAAGGACCCAACAAAGACTCTTCATGTATAGCTGATACCTTTACCTTGGAGCTGACTTTCATTCCCAGTATTTGTCTCTGAGTAAATTAGACTGCATAGTTCTTCTCTAAAGAGTGTCTGATCCATAAAAGACCGTCTCATAAACTGTTCAAAAACTTCAAAGATAGCTCTTCCAATTTAGTAAAATAAAAGCAGAAAAACTGGAAACTACTCACCAGAGCAAAGAGCTCCTTTGAAGCGCAGGCAGTTGAAATCGTCACATTCGCAATATTTCCCCCAGATTTGACCGAACTCAGAGGAGTGACAGGAGCATTGTCCACATAAGCAGTCTCCTCTACCGCTACATATCGGGCTGTCTGATTTTGGGAGGCAGTTGGCATCGTCAGACGGACTATATTCATCCAGATGGCACTCACATCGTGGACCCAGTCGACCCGGGTGACACTGGCAAATCCCACACTCATAGGTCCCATTGCCATCACTGCACACTGGACTGTTAGGAACTGCTGTGGCCTCACAGTCACAATTACATGCAAAGTCTACTGTAACCTCTAGAGAATCCTTAAAGCCCAGAGGTTTGATGGTAAAAGTGCGGTTTTTTTCTATAGGGCAGCTGCGCAGTTGAGCTTCCACACTGAAGGACACCTGTGGAGAGAAATGTATTTTGTAAAAGAAAAAACAAACACAGGGGAACAACTTTGTAAATACAATTTTTAAACAGTGCATACCATGTCCCCAACCTTCAAACCAGAGCAGGACTGAAGTCCCCGAATGACCTCTCCATTAAGGCAAGTAGCATTATATGAAAGATGCATCTCATCTGGGACTCCCAAATGTTCCAGCTCCACTTTAGAACGAATTTTCTGCCCATAGAAAATGTTCTATTAGTCTAACATTATATTATTGCTGTGAAAGTCATCAAACACATCGGTATTACTATTATTATTATTATTACTAAAAGGGTAACCATAGCAAATACTATACTTAAGGGGAAAATATCCTAACCAAACCAAGCCTAAGAAAAAGTAATTTACCCTAAACATACGTTCTGCTACTCTTGGGCACTTCACTAACAACCAATATTCCATTGCAACTAGCAACTGTTGCTTCAGTGTGCAAGAGTTTTGGCTCACACTTCTTTGCTTGATTGTTTAACCAAACTGACAGGTTTGCAAGCGTGAACAGCCAGGTTAGAGTAATGGAACATCATCTTAATGGGATTGATTTCAAAACTTTAAAGAGGGGTCTCTCTGCAGACCTGCAGTCAGGACCCTGACTGCAGCGCTGCACTGTGAGGTCTCCTGCACTGTTAGAACTGGAAGTTTATTAGAAAACTTTCAAAATAAACGCAAAGTTGAGTCAAAGCCTTTCTAAAGTAAAGCTAGTGTTGCGCAGATGCCATTTTTTAGCCCCGATACCTGGCTGTGCAGTATCGGCTGATACTGATACCATACTGATACCATCTGTTTGAAATTGATGTGTGTGTGTATATATATGAAGAACTGCATACTACTTAGATGTAAAATAATTGCCATCATCGCTTTGTCAAGCTGCTGCCTACCTTTGTGAAGCAGGAAAAAGACGAATACAAAGTGAATCCAGTAGAACTTTTTATTGCCTACCTGGAGTGGGTGACAATAGTTGAATAAACTTTTGGCTCTCAAAATGGTATCGGTGCCATATTTGTCGTTACTCACTGATACCGATACCACCATTTTAGTGCTGAATCGGGCCCCGCCCGATACTGGTATTAGTGTAACACTAGTAAAAGCTAGTGTTGATAAACTCCCTGTGAAGCTAGCTGCCTTTCACAAACAAGTGTTGTTATGCTGGAAACTTATGTACACACACAATTTTACTCCCTTCCAAACTCCTATCTGGAATAATAGATATGTGCTACGTAGAAATAAGTGTCTGTATTTGGATTGCTGGTTGGATAAGGGAATTTGGTCTATAAGACATTTTCTAAAAGACAATGGAGGTTGGCTGTCCTATGAGGATTTTTGATTATTGTATAATCAAACTCCTCCTATGCTCAGTTTAACATTGTCATAAACTCTAATCCGGCAGCAAACAAGTGCTGTATGCTATTCCCGAAGGCTTCGAATAAAACTTCCGGAATAAACTTCCGGTCCTGACAATGCAGGATACCCCATTTAGCAGGGCTGCTACGAGGGGTCCTAACAGTGCAAGTCTGCAGCCAGACTCTTAAAACTTTGACTAAGCCACTCTCAAATTAAAATTCTGTTGTATTTCTTTAACCACTTTGATTTGACTTGTTTTGCGTCAGATCTGTCTCCTGATGAATAACTCAGGTAAGCTTGAGCTTTAGGTCACAAACACATGAACTGACATATTATGAAGGAATTACAACTAAGATGCAGAATTTACATTTACAGTAAATCATCCTGATTCTGAAGAACAAAAGCAGCAGCTGACAGTAACTCTACCACAGTTGTGTTTGACTGTTAGGGATCATCACCATGTTTAATCATCTAAAACACCAAACAAGTGACAAAATAATTGCAATAGAAGAAATCTGTAAGTGGGTAAAGTATTATTTTCATAGAAATGTATTATTTTTAGTTTATCTAAGTAACACTCAGCAAGGAAACTATATATTTACCGCATAGGCGTCCTGAATCAGCTGAATAACATTTCCAGAGTCTTGAGACAACCTTCCCACAGTTGTGCCTGGAATCACCTGACTATATTGCTGAAAAATATAACATATATTCCTGATGGTAATCTAGCATTTAACTTTAAATAACTCAGGTTTTCATATTATTTACCTTGTAAAGGGGTTCAACATATTCCGTCACAGCAAAAATCAAATTAATGTTGTTTTTAGACATCTTTTCTATTAAGAGGCCCAAGGAAGGATAGTCCTGGAAAACACAGAGGTTAAAACAGCTCATGATATTATCTAACGTTTAACTATTCTTTGTCAATACAGTTATTGTAAAGTACCAGAACTGTTGATTTGTTGTAGCTATTGTCATTGTCGAGGTAACATTCTCCATCATGGGGCTGGACAATGCCAGCTATGCGTCCATCTAAGGCGAGGTGAGTTTTGGCATCAGTAGTCAGCACCAGAAGATGTGAGGCATCCGGGCGCCATCCAATCTTGTCCTAACATAAATGAAAACATTAATAACAGAGGTAAAAATGACAACTCTATATATAAATCTTTCAAACAGATAATATATATGTCTTTTTTACCTTGCATACAATTGCTTGCATGATAGCATCAAATCCACCTTCGGGACCATCCCTATTTCTGGACACCTTCTGCTTTCTCACCTCTTCAGTGAAGCGAGAAACCTTTTCCGTCAGTGACAACACATTCTTAAAGCTGACCTGAGCCTGGCACTGATCCCCTATTCTGTTTGTAACGACACAGAACAGGAGTTAGAAACATTATCTTGAAGTTTTCAAACTGGACAGACTGGTAGAGAGTAAAGCTTGATAATTACAAGTCATCTCAGATGCAAACATTCAGGTACCTTACCCAATGCAAGGGTTTTCAACTGAACCTGGGGGGTAAGTAATCAGGTATGGGTAGGTGATCTTGTCCACAAATGCTCCAAAACCCATGCGAAGATTACTAGTGGTTTTGCCCATAGTTTCAGCTAACTTGTTGCCCAAAGTTTCTAAGCGTGAAAGATCATCTTTCATTGAATATGACAGATCCATCAAGTAGTAGAGATCCACAGGGTAATCCTCCACCTGTTTTAGACTGACTGTAAAACGTTTAGCATCACCTGGAAGGAAAAGAAACATTTTTTTTTAAAGAGTAGAGATAAAGCCTAAATGCAGCTAGGCTACATTTTGGAGCATTGTGATACTTTTTATGCAGCCTTAAAGACCAACATACCCGGTCTTAATGTCATGCGGAGTTTCTGAGGCCGAATTTGAGTTACATCTGCTGGATTAGAAACCTTGTCACTAAGAGGATCATCCTGTTGAATAGTCAAGGTGCTGGAAGGAAACTCTATAGCTGCTGCTTTGCACCCTTCTTTAATAAGGTTGTCTTTGAGGTCACATCGAGATAAGCTGGAAAGTCCCATCCCAAACTCCTAAAAAGAAAAAAAATCCATATCCAGTCGGTTGAATTCAAATATAAGGCAAAATCAAATGTATTTGTTTTATAATTACAGTATCTTCACACAAATAACTGGTAATATGTGTGGGCCCTTCTGTGTGGTAGACAAGCTGAGTTATATATTTAGTTATTTAATTTTCCTCCACAAAAAAAGGCTACATTGCATCATTGTTTCCAGGCAAAAGAGAGGAGACAAGAAGTCAGAGTAGCAGAGATTAAAACAGTGAATCACCAGACAAAACCAGAGAAGAACTTAGGAGACAACAAGATTGAGAGATTTTTTCTGGAGAAGCAACATTTGCCAGATAGGAGGATACAAATAGAAGGGAGAGACCTTCCCAGCCTCTGATTCTATTTATGATTTTTTTTTTTTTTTTACTTTTTCTTATTGTTACCAGGAGCCTAATCTTGCCCAGAGCTACACATAGCAGCCAGCAAATTTTCATATTTTCATATCAAATTTCTGACTTTATTCTAAATATCACAAGACATGCAGAATTCATACTAATTCTCTAAGTTTTTGTCTGTACAGCCATATGAGAGCTGATATGGACAAAAAGCGAATCCTTCCTGTGAACAGTATGTGAGACAGATGAGAAATCTGAAACAGATTGATGGTTCTGGGTCCAACAGGCCTGAGGACAAAGCTCTTCTTCCTGCCTTGTTCAGACGACCAGCAGCAAGCAAAGTCTAACTGTAAGACAGTTTTAGAGACTGTCCATCAATTTTTTTTATCAAGATTTCAGGCCACTGAATCTATTTAACCTAGGCCTGTTAGTTATAAACCTATTGGTTTATCACAAAAGGCTAAATCAATGTGAAGCTTAATAATAAAAATTTTTTTTTCTCCATTATTTTATGTCTTTTTATAACGAATTTTGTTTATCGAGACCTTTTAGTAAATCCTTTTCATTACAGCCAAATCTTTATTTGGAAATGTTTGCAAATGGCTGAACAACTTCTCCAAAATCAAAACAGCTATTATTTTCAAACGATTTTGCTATTGCGATTTTATTGCGATTTTCCTTTCCACTAAGCACAAGCATGTGGATGTTTTACTTCAGAGTTTCAGTTTTTTCATGACCCTGAAAGCCTGCCTGTCCAGAACCCAGTGTTACAAGACTTCACTGTAACATTTATTTAAAATAGTTCTACTATAATGCATAGATCTAGGTGCTAGCTGCAACTCTCTGTTCCCTTCTGTGAAACAGCATGCACAATTTCAACGTATTACCACCAACTAAAGGACTTGAGGGAGAAATTTAGTGTCTTACTCTTGTTAAAAGTATTGTGAAAAGAAATTGACCACCTCCACGATTTAAAAATAGCATTTTATATTGTAAATGCAATTAATTGCCCAGCCCTAATGTAGACAGACAGACAGACAGACAGACAGACAGACAGACAG